CTCGCTTGAGCTGTCCCGCTGCGGGCGTGCTCCAAGGCTTTGCTCCCCGTCTCCCTGCAGACCAGGGAGACAGGGAGCAGCTTTTCTCGCCCCGGAGGATGGGGGCGGCGGACCGCGGCGCATCTGGGCGTCCCGCCACTCCCGTCTTCCGGGGCGAGAAAAGCCCCATTTGTAACTGCGGATCCGACATAAGTCGGATCCGCGTAACTCGGGGACTGCCTGTATTTCATTTCCTTAAAGGGTATTCATCCAGAGCAGGGTGTGAGGAAAATTTCCCCTGCTGCTGCCCATGTGTGACCACTCTCCAACTGTCAACCTGGCACTAGCATGGAATAAGCTATAAAATAAACCTCTGAGTTTTCACTGAATGTTTTTTAAAATTGGTTTTACTGCTCTTGAGTTCTGCTTTTCCGAAGCATTTCTTTTCTGTGTGCTCTCCCTTTTCCAGAAGTACTCAGCCGATCACTGCACTCCTTTCCCCTCCGACCTAGCATTTTTGGCAAAGCAAGTGGCTGCTGCCTGTGGGTTCCAGAACTTTCAAGCTGAGGCAGGGATCCTGAACTACTATCACTTTGATTCTTCACTGGGAATTCATGTGGATGAGTCTGAGCTGGACCATTCCCAGCCTCTCTTATCATTCAGGTGAGCCAAGGGAAGGCTCGTGGCCAACACATCCATCCAGATTCTGTTGAATGCATCTTTCTGTATACCAGCTTAAAGTTACAGGAGACCAGTGAAACTCAGTGGCAAATTGTATGTTTGTAACTTTTCACTTCTAGAAATTGGAAGAGTAGGGATGCCATAGGTCAGGAGTGAGGTGCATAAGCAGAGCTGTGCATGAAAATGTCACAAGATTTGAACTACAGTGGGTGCTGCTCCTCAAGATTGAGGAGCAATCAGCAGATCTTGGAATAGATGAATGGCAGAGGAATGCTGAAGGGCAGGAATGAAATCCATCAGCAGAGCTCCTGCCCAACCTAAACCAGAGCATGTTTGGTCTGTTTTATGTGCACTAAACATAAAGTTGTAACAAAGGGCCCATCTGGCTTATAAGGAGGAATTTAGCTGATTAAAATACACCTGTTTCTGCACATAATTATTCTTTCACTAACTGGGCTTCCCTTCTGTGTTTTCTCTCTTCTTTCCTTCTCCTACAATCCCACAACCTTTCATATTTCCTAGTTTTGGACAGTCCTCCATATTTTTGCTAGGGGGCCTGAAGCGTGATGAAGCCCCGACAGCCATGTTCATGCACAGTGGGGACATCATGGTAATGTCTGGCTTCAGCCGTCTGCTGTACCATGCTGTTCCACGGGTCCTTCCCAACCCAGAGGGGACAACTTTGCCCTTTTGCCTGGAGCAAGCGTTTCCTTCAGACCTTTCTGACTGCTCGGTTATTGAGCACTGCTCTGAAGAAGACTGGCAGATCTGCACCAAGTATTTGCAGACTTCTCGCATTAATGTGACCATCAGGCAGGTGCTGGCTGCGGGTCAGAGCTTTTTAGATGAGCCCAAGGAAGAGAGACAATGGGATGCAACCTCTGAAAACTGTTACCACCAGGAGGAGGATGAAGTCAAGTGGCACAGGCTGAATACAGACAGCTGAGATCTGGAGACCACACTTGGGCCATTGGCTTGGACTGTACTGGTAACTTCCTAGATTGGGCATGTTGCTCAGATGACCACATGGCACCCCATCCAATGCGGGAGGGAGTTGTGGACTGCAGCAGAATGGTTGTGATCTTTATTGCTAAATGGTGAGGGGAGGAAGGATGTTTGTGTGACCAGAACACAGGGCTGGGACTCACTTCTGTTTCCAGCTCTGTCATGAAATTGCTGTGGGATGATGGGCAAATAATGTTTTTTCTGTACCTTAGTTTCCCCATCTGCAAAAATACCCCATCACAGAGATTTTGACACACTATTCATTAAAGCTTGCTAAAGCACTTTGGGTATGTCTACACTGCATTCCTCTTTCGAGAGAAGAATGCAAATGAAGCGTGGATTTGAATTTCCCGTGTTTCATTTGCATAATCACGTCTGGGCACTATTTCGAAAAAAGAAACGCTGTTTAGATGTGGTTATTACGAAAGAAAGTTTTCTTTTGAAAACCTTTCGAAAGAGGAATGTGGTGTAGACATACCATTTGAGTTTATTAGATAGAAGGTTCTAGCAAAGGGAAGGTTAGGGTTGTTTTATGTTAAAGTAAATTATTGGATTTACAAAGCCCAATTGAAGTGCACTACTGATCATGCCCAAGTTTGAATGAGCATCTGTGCTCAGTGATTTTAATATGGGGCCACATCTGCAGCTCTCAGAAACCAGAGTGTGCCCTAAACATGCTTTGCAGAAGGCTTGTTGTGTCACCTGGAGTCCTGACCTTACAGCAGACGCTCATCTCATAAGTAGGACTGAGCTCTTTGAAATACTTCCGGTTTTAAAGCACAATAATAAGGGCCAGACTTCCCTGGATACATACTGATTTCTGTTCAGGTCTCTTCCCTATGACTCCTCTGTGTGTGACCTGCAGACCCCATTCTGTCAGAATCTGTCCCTCTGGTTGTCTGCAGAATGTGGTCTCTGCTGTTCCTGATGGCTCCTTTAAGGAGCAGCATGAGGAAAATGGCTTACAAGCAGAAACAATGAATTTGTAAATGAAGTACCTAAAAAAGAAATTAATCAGTGACTATCGCTATTGCCCAAAAGGTAATTGTATTGAAACAAAATAAGGAAAACACAAGCTTCTGTGCCCATCTTCTTTAGGACTCAGACCTTCCTATCTGCTTTTTAATGCAATTTTAATTGTTTGAGGGCAACGCTTTCCCCATGCAAACACTTACTCTGTTTTTAAATTAAAGATCTCTATCTCTCTTGAAAGGTTTTTTTCTTTCTTCCCATTTAGTTATTTTTCTTTGTTGTTAATGCTGTTGTTTCATTCAGGGTTCTCTTGGATGTGTTAACTGTGCCATCCATGAGCAGTGAAAAAGGAACCCTGCATAGAGCTGCAGGACCAGTTGGTTTTATATGGTGCTTGTGGGTTTTTTTGGGGAGCTGTATGAGAGAGGTGCCATCTTCAATGCTTTTTGGCGAAGTTCAACTCCAATATGGATTTTCTGTCTCTTCTGATTGGGGAAGATATCTGTTTGTTTATTTTGGATCAATTTATTAATTGGAGAACAAACTTTTCAGACCAGGAACTGACTATCTTTGTATGTCTTGCTCAACAGTAATACATAATATCAGTGCACTCCTGCAAATGGATGAATAAGGAGCTTACTGTATTTAACATTTTCTCACACATAATCTTGGAGGAACAGAGGGTGATATGAATAAATGCTTTAGTGTGGCTGCACAAAACTAAAAGTCTGGCATATGAATAGACCCCCCCAAAAAAAATCAGAGAGCACATTTAGCAGAATCTAAAGGGCAAAATTCTTGCTCTCGTCTATAAAGGCCTAAGTTAGAGTTTATTGAGGTCTAAGAGCTCATAATGAATCCACTACTTGCTTTGAACTGCACTGTTCCAGATCTTTGCTTAGGTCTTGAGCATTCCAGTCATAGTATCCCTGTTAGCAATTGGGAAAGTGTCTAAAAGCTGCTCTTTCCTAGTAGAAGGTAAATGTTACCAATGATCTTTTTAAGGGACTATGTCATGTTTAAGAGGCAGATGATAACCCTTGTCCCCCCTGGATGGACGGGGAGACATTCTATTTTTAATCATCCACAGCATAGGTTTAAACGCAAAAAGTTTTTAAGGACAGCAGCAAAAGTCCACCTACTTAGCAAATGTTGAAAACTAGGCTAAGTCTACACTGGCATTTTATACCACCGTAACTTTCTGACTCAAGGGTGTGAAAAATACACCTGCTGAGCACACCAAGTCACAGCACTGTAAAGTGCCAATGTGTAGAGGCTACGGCACTCCCAACTATTCCCCTCATGGAGGTGGTTTATAAAGAGAGCTGAGTAATCTCTCCCAGAATTTGTGCCATGGTCGCACTTTCAGTTTAAAGCATTACTGCAGCTACTTTTAAGTGTAGACAAATCCCTAAGGGTTAGACTGCAGTAAACCAATTTGCTTTGGTTTATTTCATAGGATGGACAAGATGGGAGTTAAGTTGGCCTTTTGCATCTCTGATTTCTGTAATTCTCTAGAAACTAATGGTCAGGCAATGACTAGATCCTGTATTGCTACAATCCGGTCTTTCTGAGCTTCAGAAAGTGGAAGACATGTTGAACTTCAGCTTCTGCAGAAAGCTTGAGATGTCTGTAGTTTTAGTAAATCATAGAATACCAGAACTGGAAGGGACCTCAAGAGGTCATCAAATACAGTCCCCTACCCTCATGGCAGGAACAAGCACCATTTCCCTGATATATTTCTATTCAGCCTGCTCTTAAATATCTTCAGTAATGGAGATTCCACTATCTCCCTATGCTGTTTATTCCAGTGTTTAACACCCTGACAGGATGTTTTTCCTAATGTCCAACCTAAATGCATGCATGCTGATGGTTGCTAGAGATGGGGAGGACCCCATAAGTCATTAAAGTAAGTGTTTGGATTGACCAACTAGAAAGGTGTTGGTTTTGTTTGGAAGGGGTAACAGCTTATAATTGTATTTACAGTGTGTGCTGATTGTGATGACATTAAGTGACTAAAGATTTATAATTATACTAGCTACACATTGGGCCATACAGTCAGCGAGAGATTCATAACCTACCTCTGTCTAGATGTCAGAAATTGGAAACAGCAAGTCAGTCACAATAAAATATTAATATGTGAGGGGCAGCAAATAATGATAATGTCCTGAACTAAGGCCTATTCACACTACAATTGTATTTGACTTGGGTACAACAAAAAGGGTTATGTCCACACAGCAGCTCTTGTGCAATATAACCTAAATTGTGCATCCCTCCCTACTATACTATCTAACCAGATTTATTGCTGCATTATGGGAAAATATGGGCAGCTATTCCATAATGCCTTAAAGTATTCATGAACCCTGGAGAAGTTCATGAATAAAGTAACAACAGGAAGAAAAGCATGGGAAGAAAAGCATTCTCTGGTATTCAGAACGATGGATCAATCTTAGAGGGTCCATCTATGCTGCATATTAACTGTTGTGAGCAGGTTACAGGATGACAGGCATGCGCCAACTCTATGCCATTGGTAAGTAAAAAGTGCTGTCTGCCCACGCATTTTGCCAGGGTGACCAAACCATGGCTTGTGAGTTGTATGTGGATCTTACAGTTAAAGTACAGCTTGTGGAACCTCACAACTCTCTCCCCATTCTCTGCCTACCAGCCTGTGGGGAGAGCCCAGAGCTTCTGTACTGTGATTAAATGGTAGGGCTAGGAGTTTCTGCCAGAGATAACTGTTGCGTGCTGGGAGTGAGGGACACAATTTAAAGGTTCACCTCTTCCTCCCCACCCCCCGCCCACACACACATCAGCCTGGGAAAAATACCCTCTGTGGACCAGATGCAGTGGGGAGCCTCAGGAAGACTCCCTGCCTGCCCCCGGATGTTACTGAGAAAAACAGTTGTTGGGAGTCTCTGTTTGAATATCTTTTGTGAGCCCTGGGGAGGGGAAAGAGGTTTCATTTGCTGTCCATGCCCCCAACACAATATCATTGGCTGGGTTCCAGCCAATGGGAGCTACCTGTTGTCAACAGGCAGCTTGTGAAGTGCTCTCCCTTCAGGCCAAAAACCTCATGGCTCCCTGCAGCCAGTGTGAGGCAGGCAGGGTCTCTGCTTGAGAAGGCTGCTGGCTGGGAGTCAGGCCAGTCTCCCAGCCAGAGCCTGCCTCTGGCACCCCAACCCTTTGGCTCCCTACCCCACATAACCCAAACCATGTGCTCCCTTCCTGCAACCAGATCCTGCACCCCAATCCCCTGCCCCAGGTCACAACCCAAACCTCTGCATCCTAGTCCCCTAGCCCAGGTCACAACTGCCTCATACTCATAGACTTTAAGGTCAGAAGGGTCCATTATGATCATCTAGTCTGACCCCCTGCACAGTGCAGGCCACAGAATCTCACCCACCCCTCTTAGAATAATCCTCTCACCTATGTCTCAGATATTGAAGCCTTCAAGTACTTTGAAGGCCCCAAGATGCAGAGAATCCTCCAGCTGTGATCTGTGCCCCATGCTACAGAGGAAGGCAAAAAACCTCCAGGGTCTCTGCCAATCTACCCTGGAGGAAAATTCCTTCCCGACCCCAAATATGGCGATCAGCTAAACCCTGAGCATGTGGGCAAGCATTCTCCTAGTGAAATAGTTTTTCCTAATATTCAACCTGGACCTCTCCCACCATAAGAACCAAAGGGTTCTTCTGATCCCAAAGGACCAGCCACATATGCAGAGAAATATAGAACTCAAAACTTTCCCAATAATCATACTGTTGCTAACCCTTTAATATCTAATATTTTAAAGTTTATTTCTAAAAGAAAAGAAGGTGAGAGTTAAAATGGTCAAAGGAATTAAATACATACAGTAATTATAAGGTTTTTGGAACAGATTCACAGCAGTGAATAGAATAAACTACTACTTGTTAAGTCTCTGCTTCTAAAAGATTGGAAGGTTCGCATTCCTTTGGATAGAATGCTCCCATCAGTGTAAGTCAAAGATCAGAGCAGGAAAGAGGCAAAATGGAGATGCTTCCAGGGTCTTATACTTTCTGTCATGTAGTTAATCTGCTCTTAATCCTTCAGGGTGTGTCTAGACTACATGCCTCCGTCGACGGAGGCATGTAGATTAGCCAGATCGGAAG